TCACCTTTCAATCTCAGTTACAAGTTGATCCATGGTGACTTGAAATTTTAACCTCAAAAACCATTTTTCCTTTCCTAATAAAGTCTGATACCTCAATAGACGTCAATTCGTCTTGTTTTCGTTTACGGGCTCAACAGAGAAGGGGCGGATTTAGGGGGATAGGGTATGTCCATTCTGGATCCGTCACATAGTTTCATCCCAGGCGTGTACAATGCCATAAAAAAATTTTCTTTCGCCATCATATATTAAAAAAAAATTTTAACTTTTATAAAAAAAAATTCTTAAAAAATTATTTGTTTTGTCTCAAATAGATTTGAGATATAATAAAATAAAAAATTAAATAAATAGTTAAATAATAAAATGAAAGAAACATATTTTAAGCAATATTACAATGTAATATATCCAAATTAATAAATACAAATGCAAAAGGGTTTTGATGCAATTTTGTTCAACTTGTTTTAAATTTACAAACCTTTTAAATTTATAAACTCAAAAGGTTTATAAATGTAAAACAAGTAAAGAAAAACTACATCAAAAGTCTTTTTTATTTGGATTCATATACTTGTGGATACATTACACTTTTTGTGTGTATAGATATTTATTTTTGTCTATATATATCTGTATATATAACTTTTTTTTTTTTTTTTTGACACTTCTATTTTTAAGGGACTTTAGTGGTAAGACTGAATTTGTCTTTTTCTTTCCCCAGCTATGTTTTATAAATTTCTAACTGCTTAATATCGTAAACTTTTTTTATCGTCGAAATACATTAAACCCTAAAAGTATAATGTATCAAAAAATTGTGAAAAGATAACTTTTTTCTAATTCAATCGGTGGGTTATCTTGGCGAAAAAAAAATTTAAAAAGTTATTTATGTAGGAGTTAAGGTGAGTTTCCACTCATCCGGAACGGGATAGGAAAGGAAAAAATAATCACGTGAGCATGCGCAGTTTCCTTACGGACAAATAAAACTTTTATTACGCATGCTCACGTGATTATTTTTCCCGTCCCTTTCCCGTTCCCGTGAAAAAATGGATGAGTGGAAACTCGCCTTTATGGTTGTTTTAGTAAATAAAAAACGTTTTTAGTAAAAAATTATTTATTATTAGTAGATATTTTTTTGGGAAGGGCAAACATTTTATTATCAAAATCATTTATATCCATGGTAGGATGTTCATATATAAAACCGACGAAAATATTTGATTTTTTAGAGAGAATTTAAAACAAAGTTTACTGTCTAAAATCACCAAGTTATTTCTTCTTCGTTTTTTTAATGACACATTTTTTTAATGATATTTACATTGAACGCATGAAATCTTTTTCATGGCATTCAACGAAGTGAAGACAAATTAGTAAAACTTGAGAAGACATAAAAAAAAAAATAAAAAATAAAACTTTTTTTTAAAAAACAGCATTTTAAAAATGGACTTTAAAGTAAAATATAAACTATTCACGACACCCAAGGACTTTGTGTACGTACACAACCTGAAATATCCATTAAAGTCAATGAATAAAATGTTGGGCCACTAAGTACAACTCGTTCCAACATTTTTAAGTTCAACATTTTTAAATTTAACATTTTCAGTCATTGACTTTAATGGAAATTTTAGGTTGTGCACGTGCTCAAAGACCTTGGGTCCCGAGAAATACTTAATTTTTACTTTTTAGTCCATTTTCAAAATGTTGTTTTTAAAAATTTTTTTTTATATATTTCTTTTATTATTCAATAGCGATTCTATTTATTTACGCTAAACTAAAACGCTAAAAGTTTGTTGTTTATTGCTTATTTTGTTTTCTTTTTTTAACGATTTCTGTTATTTATGCTAAACTAAAGTCGGTTTTAACTACTTTTTTAACGATTTCTTTTATTATTACCGCTGCCTGGTGTTTGTATTGCGCGGACACCTTTTTGGTGTCCGCGTAATACAAACACCAGGCAGCAAGAAAAAAAATACAAACACCAATACAAACACTAGGCAAAAAGAAAAAAAAAAAAGAATAAACAAACCGACCAGAAAGCAAGTTAAATATAATGTTGTAATAATGATGATAATAAAAAAATCTCATCTTTGACAATCTATAACTTAGGTTTTAAATGAAATTAAAAAAATGTAAATTTATTTTTGTTTAACACAATATATTATCCCGGTGGGAAATCGGCTAGCGAATAGCTAGCTATAATCGTAGCTATAAAGACACCAATTTGGCCACGAGGATTGCTAGCTTTTTTAAATTAGCGAAAAGCTATCGATATTTGTACAGATAAAGAAAGCGATTTGGCTATGAAGAAAGCTAGCTTAATAAGATAAAGACCCACTGGCTCTTGTAGCTAGCGTCATATCTTAATAAAATCGTTGTCAAAAAAATTTTGATATCTTGCCGTCAACCAGCTATAGATGTTTTGTACAAAGCTACGATATTTATCTAGCGACACATTGCTACAAAATAACAATGTTTAAAGTTCAATTATCCTATAATTATAATAGACTCAACACTAAAAACCAAATTTTTAAAGATGTTAAAGATATTAGCAAAAAATAAAATAGGAAAAAAAATCAATTCAAAAACGCTGTAAAGCTAGCTAGTCGATAGCTCATTTCCCACCAGGATGCTTGTATTTAAAAAAAGTTTCTTAGAGATTTTGTTTTTTGTTTATAAAGAATTTAAGACTTTTACAAAGTTTTTTTTGAAATTTTTTAGAGTTTTGCTCAGTCGGTTTGCTTCAAATTGTTTTAAATGAAATTTAAAACATCTTTAGTTTAGATAGATTATAGATCAAAATAGGTAGAATTTTTACGAAGTATTCAAGTTCTTAAAAAAATGTTTTTTTCATTTGATATTAAAAAGTTTATAAGTAAAAGTAAACAAATTTATATGCTGGTAGTAGTAGTTCTTATTCATCTATTTCCTTAAGGAATATTCTATAGTCTAAATGTGTTTGCAATAGTTAAAATAATTCCAGCACCGAGTAAAGTCTTTACCTAACAATACTTTCAAGAACTTGAGATTTCAACAGTCTGTGGCCGTATTCTCATCTCTCCGTTAAGCTTAACGGAGCTTTTATATATAATTTCATGAACTTTTTTATAAAATTTCAAGTCAAAAAATGACATAAACTTTATTTAAATTTGTTTAAATAATACTAATACTAAAATAAAACAATTTTATTTAAAAAGATCATACTTTTAAAGAATTTTTTTGATAATGTAGTTAAAAAGAAATTTTAGACAAAAGCTCTGTTAAGCTTAACGGAGAGATGAGAATACGGCCACTGGAAGTAAAAGATAAAGGTAGAATTCTTTAATATAACGCAACTATAATATATTAAATTATATAGCATAAACTCTTGATTGGCATATTACATTTGAAATAAATTTTAAAAGAATGCTTGCAGTCCACAGAAAGATCTTTGATACTAATTACGTATTTCCGATATGTATTTTGTAAATTTTTTGGTTGATTGAAAACGAGCCAAATTTGATCAGCCTCGGCTCAGTGGTTGAAGCGCTGACTTCAAAATGTGGAGGTATAAGGTTTGATGAATGCAAAGAAAATTTATTAATTTTTAATAAGAAAAAAAATTCGTATTTAAAAAAAAAGTTTTTTAGAGATATTTTTATACAAAAGTTGATTTAGAAGTTTATGGCGAAGTCAAATGTAAAACATATATATTAAAAAAATAAAGCCTAACATATTGGCAATCAGAAATTAAAGTATTTTTGAAGATAATGTTATTCATTATAGCATGGCAGATGGTTTATTGTTTTAGGGTATATTAGCAAATAAAGGAGGAAAATAATATTATAAAAATACAAAAAATAAATCCTATCATACTTCTAAGATAAATACTTAAATCAATTACTTTTATTAAAATCTAAGCTATGCCGTATTGTAACATTTTTTTTTTCTGCAGTGTAGTGTAAGACGACGTTGCAGTGAGGTGCATCACAGAAGGAAAAAATGTTTTTCTTTTTTTTTTACGTTTAAGTGTTGCACGCTTTTCAGTATAGTCTTTTGCTTTCTCTTATTCTCCATACCACTTACAGATGAGTCCAAACCACTTACTAATACCACTTACAGATGAGTCCAAACCACTTACATTATCATAGCTATCTAACACATAGAAGGGTATTTTTTTCGCAAAACCATTTTAAAAAAACTTATACTCTTCAAATCTTAAATTTGTACTTAAAATGTATAAATTTCTCGATAAGCAACTGTTTCTGATTGGCAAAGTATTATGTAATAATTTTCGAAAAAAATCATTTAAAAAGCTCGGTTTGTTATGAAAAAATAGTGGCAAGAAGTCATCGAAACTCAGTGAACGAAATCCTCAAATACCGAAAGAGTTAAAAATATATATATTTAAAATTTTTTTAACGAAGAAAATTTTTTTAAACAAATTAGTATTTTTTTTTAGATTTTTAACTAACTAAACAAGTAGCTTTTTTTTCAGCAAATAAAATTGAAATTTTCTATTTTTTAAAAAAAATTTTTCTATTTTTCTAAAAAATAGAAAATTTTTCATTTTCTATTTTTTAGAAAAATCTTTTGTACGTTATACTTTATAAAATCAATACTTTATTTTGTTAAAAAAAACTATTTTTAAAAAGATCCTTCTCAAATTCTGTTATTTTGAAGGAAAATTATTGCTTTTGATAAAAACAATAACATTCCCTTAAATATAATCACAAGTTGTAACTATGTTTAAGAGTATCTTATAATACTTGTAACTTACAACAAGAAAAATAAAGTAAACTAATTAGAAAAATAACAAATAGTTAATATAATTGTTATAAATAATAGCTGTTATTTATAATAATTATTTATAAACAATTGACATTATTAATCATGCAAATACTTTAAACTTCAAAAAATATTTTTAATGATAAAAAATTGTGTTAATTGAAAGATAATTACTACTGCTTTTAGTTCTGTTTGTATTTACATTGAACAATTATTTAAATAAGCACTAATTAAGAAAATAATTTGAATAATACCTCTGATTCCTTTGCAGAATGCTTTGAAAAATCCGACAGGTGGATTTGTTTTCGAAGGAAGAGATAAATCTGTTTTGCTGTTGCTTTGGAACTTTTGAGGCCCAATAGAAGGAAGTGCTTTTTCTTCCGCATTGCCTGCTTCACTAGCTCTTATTGAAAACGTAGATTCACCTCTTTTAACAGGAGTGTTACCGCAAACTGACATTTCATGTTGAAGGCTAACTTGAGAACTACTTTTAGCTCTTCTCTTCGCACTCATAACTATATAAAAAACATTTACTTCAAAAATCAATTTAAAAGATATCAGAATAAAAAAGAAAATTAAAAGAAAAATTGTTGCACAAGTGAATTGTCGGGGAGTAAAGTATACAATATTTGTTGTAGTTTTAGACCTTTTTTTTTGTTATCTCCTTACTTTTATCTTTATAATACGTCAAATGTAGATGTCCTGTAAAAACAAACGTATATAATTAAATAATAAATATATTTATCCTCGGTGTAGTTAAGGTGATTTTTAGATATTACAGCAATTGTATGATATTTTGCTGACCACAACATGCTTTCGTAAATGATCAGGTCTCTGAATTACTAAATAAATCTAAATAAATGCGTTGTTTTGGTGAAATGAACATAAAAGTTTGATAATAAGATCTGTTGTGATCGTTTAATGGCAGTTTTTTTTTTTAATTATAAATTCTTTCTTAGTCGGAATTCTTAAACTTTTTGTGAAGATTGATGGAATTGTTGTATTTTAACAAGTAATTTTAACTGATATGTACCAGAACAGATTAGAACTAGGTTTTATAGTGGGTTTACGCACTTTTTCAAAAAACTGTTACTAAAATCAAGTAAAAGCAAAACGTTCAATCACGTTTCCGACATTTACAAAATAAATATACAAAAGAAATGGAAAAAACATTCTTAAGCCATGAAAATTTGGGCTTAAAGATGAACGAACTTTCTAAAAAATAATAATTTATTTATTCAAAATATATTATGACAAACTAAAATGAATTATTGGATAAAAAATATTTCTAATAAAAAAAATTGAAAATAACAAATGTATATCTAATACGTTTTAATGCATATAGTATAAATTATTTTCACATTCTCTCAAATTATTGGACGAATAGTTGCCCAAAATGAGTAAATGAAACAATCAATGCACGACCCATGTGAGTTATTCTTTATTACTGCGTCTATAAACTATCGCAAAGTTAGCTGCTTTTTTCTGATGCAAACGTTGATTCATCATGTGTTTAGCAATGATTTCAATAAAAAGATTAATGCCAAATAATGTAATTAAAAACTGGCTCAGTTACATTGGCCCAACATAAAAACATCGCATCAAATCCTAACGTTTATCCTACGTGTATAATCTAAAATTGATTCAATTTATACGAATCAATGCTGATTATGTAAGTAAAATAAAATCTTCTGTGAATCTTGAAATATTTTACAATCAGCAAAACAAACATGAATAATGTCTATTGATGGATTGATTAGAACTTTTATTATATTTTTTCTAGTCTTCACTAGTTTTTGATTGTCTATATATATATATATATATATATATATATATATATATATATATATATATATATATATATATATATATATATATATATATATATATATATATATATATATATATATATATATATATATAAACCCACTTTGTCCCACTTCGCAAACTTAAAAAATAACTTTGTGTAAAAATTGTTTTTTTGTAGTTGGCGACGTCGCATTTGTAACCAAAATGATATAAAAGCAACGTTGGTCAACGATGTTATGCCAATTTAACTAGCAACACTGTTTTAACGTTTTATAATTGTATGTGTGCTAGCTGGGTAATGAACGATATCAAACAATTTTACATCCAAAATATGAACTGTATAAATACTTCCAACGATCATTTTAATTCAATAAATTTTACTTAGATTATTATAATTAAAAAAATAAATGCTTGCTTATTTATAAAAAAATAAATACTTGCTTATTGTTTGAAACTTAATAATTAAACTTGAATTTTATTTTGCATTACTCTGAAGTTATACGAAAAGAAAAAAAAAACTAAAATACTTACTTAGTAAAAATTATTTTGCTTTTAATTGGAATTGAAAAGTTTTTTCTCTATCGTATCTCCATGGACTGAGGAGTATTATGTAATCTTTATTTCATAAAAAATGTAACAAAGATTTATGGGAAATGAAAGATGGCAACTGAATGTAAAAAAATATTAATAATAAATTTGAATATTCAATTTCAAAAAGGTAAAAACATTTTAAGAATAAAAAATACCAAGAAATCTCAATCGCATTTGCTTCTCTTCATTAGTTATTTATTAAATTACATTTAGATATTGAAATCAATTGAAAATATCTTTATATATTAAAATCATGAAACAGTTTTTCCAACTCTTTACTCAAATGATAGAAACTTATTATTGTTAATAATAAGTTTATATCAATACCCCGTCAACATAAAACTACGCCCTTTATTGTACTATATAGGGGGAGGGGAATAAAAAATATGGCGCCTTGGTTTTAAATGTTGGCATATCCTTCCTAGGTTGCAGAAAGACATGTATAAAGTCATTTCTTTTCATTTCTACATCGTCTGAAGCAGAAAACGCTGTCACCATCTTAAACAACGTTCCACAGCTGGCGTGCGGCACTGTTATTTTTCAGAAAAAAACAAAAAAAAAAACGGTACGTAACACCAATAAATTAATTCTAACCTTGTCTTTGCTTTAAAATTTAGAGTGAGAAATTTAAACTTCTACACACTTGTTTGATTAGCTTTAATACTTCTTTCTTCTCTAGCTCTATTTTTACGGGTACAACTTAACTTTCCGGTATGCTTTTACTTATCTGAAGTTATTACTTGAAAACTTTTTCTAAATGAACAAAGAATTCATTTGTTTGAATAATTTTGTACACTACTTTACGTAATGCAGCTGATTTATACCGTGATTTGATTATCGTAATACCCAAGTGCCTTCTGCCATAAAAGATAGAAAACTCCTTCTTCACGATGAACTACATAGATGAGTAAATAAGCATAATGAATGTTAATATAGTTACCAAATTAGGTAAGAAATTGCTGGTAGAAACATATAATATAAGGATCCTGTTGGAAGTGTCGAGCTACCTTGATAAAATCAGTTTTCCAGGGCAGGGCTGCTCCGGATTGGTAAAACAAAGTGCCACTTAGTATAGTTTGGAAAATGTCAAAAAGGTAAAGATGGACTGTACTGAGCTCTTTTCTGTTCACCTCTGGCATTATATATATATATATATATATATATATATATATATATATATATATATATATATATATATATATATATATATATATATATATATATATATATATATATTTATATATATATTCATCATCTTTGCTTCCAACAAGGCTGCAAGCAACCACTAATTAGTGTTGGAAGTTACTGGAAGAGAAAGGATGAAGATTGTAGAGCAAGATAACGGTTGACAGACGACTTGAAAGATTGCAAATTCTATGAATCAGGAAATCAAGATGAAGGAAGCGAGTTCTAAAGAACTGATGTTCGAGGGAAAAAACTAGACGAATAAGAGTTTTTGGAGCACTTAGGAACAGTAACAGAAAAAGAATGAGACTTAATTGAATGACGAGTAACACGAGAATGAATTTTAGTAGATGAAACAAGAGACACAGCTCTTTAGATCAGTGCTTCTTATCGTGACAAGAATAAATGGTAGTATCGTATATTTATATAAAAATACATAATGTCAGATGTGGAGGCATTATATTTTTATAAAATGCAACCACTTCTGGCTTAAAAACTATACTTTAAATCTAAATATTTATGCTTCAGCATATATATTTGTATATAAATTTAAAGATCAAAAATATGTTCTTCTTCATCACCATAGTTCTCTTATTATTTGGAAATAGAAGTTTCCGATGATTTTTAGCATCTTAGTGCAACGCCATTACTTGGACTTTACAAACTTTTGGATTATCCATGCCCCCAAACTTTACCTTGTCTCAGCCAATAACTTCTATTTTATCATTATGTAAAATAATACCAATATCCTCGAGTACAGCTAATGTCATAATTGCAGCAGGTCTAACTCCATGACTGTTATAGACCAATGAAAGACAAGGGAGTGACAATTGCATCTGCTTTGAAGATAAAAATAATGCTTATACTAGTTCTTGGTGATGAGTGTTCTTATATTTATGCTTATAATATATAAAAAACAAACTTTTTTTTAATCAAAATCTAACATTGATAAATAAAACTTATGTAAACCAATATGATTATTTTGGTCATAATATTAATGGATAATACAAGAATATCTAGTATATTGTCACCAGTGTCTCGGCTAGTAGGTCGTTGGTGCCCCCCCCCTCAAAAAATGTATATATTAAAATTAATAAGTACATATAAATAGTATATAAATAGTAATAAAAAATAAACGATGAGTTACCTAGTTCAGTACAAATAGTTAAAGCTAAAATCAAAAAGAGTTCTTATTGACAAAAACTACTTTAAGACTTAGAGTAGTTTTTGTCAACAAGAACTCTTTTTGATTTTTGCTTTAACTATTTGTACTGAACTAGGTAACTCATCGTTTATTTTTTATTACTATTTATATACTATTTATATGTACTTATTAATTTTATTTTTAATCTTAAATGTTTGGACTGTTTCTAATGTACATAAATGACATGCCAGCTGGCATGTAATTTATGTACATTAGAAACAGTAAAGGATCTGTTCTTAATCCTTTACTGTTTCTAACGTACATAAATTACATGCCAGCTAGCATGTCATTTATGTACATTAGAAACAGCCCAAACATTTGACGACATCTAGATGTCGTCAAATGTTTACTCAAGCTCTTTGCTAATGACGGCAAAAAAATATATATAATACAAAATCATTTTAAAACTGAACATCTGAGGATGCTGCTAAATCGGCAGATTGGAAAACGGAGTTTAGTGCAAACAAATGCAAAGTATTGACGATGAAAAAATTGCATAAATAAACAATCCATGATCAGAAGTTTAGCATTCAATATCAGTATAAGAGCCGAACATACTAACAACCAAGAGCGAGATCTTGGAATTTTAATATCTAGCAATCTTAAATATTCAGCCCAATCAAAACATGCAGCTGTCAAAACTAATGTAGCACTGGCTTTACTCAAGAGGACGTTTAGATACTGGAACCCTTTAATGTTGAAAACACTTGCCAGGAAAAAAAGTTGTATAGAATTTTCTATAAACTTTTGAAACATATGGCCTATAGAAATTCTATAGAATTCTATTGAGTTCCTATAATATTTCTGTTAACTTTTATAAGAAATTTTATAAAAAAAAATTTTTCTACTATTTTTTTTATAGAAAAAAAGTTTTATATCAGTTTCTATAAAAATTAAGAAATATTTTATAGAAATTCTATAGAGTTTCTATAGGCCATATGTTTCAAAAGTTTATAGAAAATTCTATAGAACTTTTTTTTCCGGGGTTTATACCACGTTTGTGAGACATGATCTTGATTATGTAAAAACCCATACGGGCTTCTATCAACAAAGTTGATTACAAGATTATAGAACGAATACAAAGAATAGCCAACAAGTCATGCCATTCATTAAAGGGAAAAAATATGAAAATTGACTAGCCCTACTCAATATCCAATTAGTCAAAGCACGTAGCACACGAGTAGATGTAATTCAGTACTTTAAGAAAAGCAATGCTTTCCTTAAAGTTTTAATATTACATCTTGGATCCACCCACCAAACAAGTCTCGATCTGGCGATTGATTTGGGCTAGCAGGTGCAAGTTAGGAGAAATAAGGAATGACTAATCAAACAGCTTACCAATAGCTGTTGTCAATGAGAATACTTCTTCTTAAATAGAGTGTTCAACGTTTGGAACATACTTCCAGATGCAGTTAAAAACTCGAAAACTATTAATGCGATAGTGCTGTAGTGGTAGAGCGCTCTTTCAATCCTTTAATGTCCCTGGCAATACCACGCTCAACTTGTTTCTCCGCGCAGCGGCCTTGTTTGTCAAGGTTTGTTTTTTTGAAGTTATAGAGTTGATAGAAGGTAGTAACTACAACCTAAGCAGCCTGCTTGACTGTAGTGGTCTTTATGGCTTTAGGAAGGTAAACTAGCATTAAAAAAAAAAATTTGTTTAAAACAGTTACGACGTCTATGTAAAAACAATATGAAACTTTATATACAGTTCAGCTGTCATAATTTACCATATTCATTTGGTCAGCTCTATCTTATTATTTTTGTATATAGTGTATAATGAATACATATTAATGTATATAATGTATATTAAATACACTTACACATACATATTAATGTATTTACACATACACAATAAATAAATTTTTGTATATATTGTATGATAAATACATTTTAATGTATTTGTTACGAGTAAACTTTTGTGAATAATTTTTAAAAATCAGAAAAGGGTAAATCAATAAAATTTATAAAAAGATCAAATTTAATTCTGCAATATTCAAGAGGTTCAAGTTCAAAGACGATAGGTCTTAATAAGTAATCAGTGTATGCAATATGACATCTTTTGCAGACAACACTAGTAAAGCATTTTTGGACTTTTTTAATGCAACTTATATGTTTCAAAAGACGAGGACTTCAAACAAGAGTATAAGATTCTTGAACAGACCGCACATAAACTTTGTAGGCTTTTAAAAAAAGTAGAGAATTGTAAGCGATTAAAGATTTTAAAAGTAAGTAAATATGGGACTATTATTATTTGAGATAAGAGAGCATTGATAAGAGAACTTTGTATCAGAAGACATGTTGATTCCAATATTCCAATATTAGAACTTAATGAATATGAATGAATTGGTAAAATATATGATCCATCGCATAAATAAAAACATTTTTGAATGCTATTTGGAATTGCCAATCATTGGAATTTTTAACTGAACAATAATTGAATTTTCTAAAAGTGCTTACAAGATGAATGTTGTTGTAATCATTTCTTTATTGGTACAACTTGATATTTTTTTAAAGACACAATCTCTAATAATGTAAGAAGTCATACCAAAAAAAAAAATTAAGAACAATATAGGTCTTACTATAATTTCCTGTGATATTCCACTCTGTACTGGAATGTTATTGGAATATGAGGTAA